ACAGCTTCTGTCATTCACAGGATATTAGGAGCTGAACTGTGTCTGACTGAAGCACATATGCTAAAATGCTAGCCCGAGCCCTAGCCCTAGCCTAGTTGTATAAACATGCAATTACACTGGGAGTAATAGACTTCAAGGAGGTGTGATGGCCAGCTCTTCATCATTGGTAAATAGCACCTGACACCCACAATTTAAAAAGGGGAGGCTTATTGGGCTTACACTTTTAGAAGCCTCAGTCCATGGTTGGCTGGCTACAAGGCAAAAACATCAAGGTGGCAAGTCATGGAAAAGCAAAGCTGCGTAATTTTTGGTAGCCAGAAAGCAGAGCAGCAGTACTGTCCCATGAAGGAAGAGGCCAGTGATCAGATATAGTACCCAAGGTCATGTCTCCATGACCTACACAAAAACACCCAGAAGTGTGCTATAGTTATACTTTGGGGAGCTCACAAGCGAATCAAACTGACAATCCACCTGAAATGTCACAGGAGATGATCAGGTTTAAAAGAGGCCAGTCGCATGGGTTGTGATCAAATATGGCTATAATCTTGAAAAGAAGAGAGCAAAGAACCGTGAGTAATGCACACAGAGGAAAGGGCAGGTGAAGCTGCAGGGTCACGGTGGCCATCTGCAAGACAAGCGAGACCACAAGCGAAGCTACACCCGCTGATACCTTGATCTCAGGCTTCATCTCTAGGGCTCTAAGTCAATAAATTTCTCTGGTTTAAGCTGCCTGGTTCGTGATGCTTTATTTTAAAAGCTTTAGCAAACCAGTGCAGGTTTGAGTTAAAGAGACAGGCTGGTCTTTCCTCTTCCGTGCTCATCTTGGAGGGACAAGAACATGATAATTAAAGTCTAATTTCTTGTTCAAGAAGAAGGAATGCTGGAGATGCTCAGCAATAACTGGTCCACAGGTGTTTTGAGGTCCACAGAGGTACAGGTCTCTTTGATTGGGCCTTGGTTACCCTGATTGGAGGAGGACTGCTCAGCTCCTGACTCTGTCCTCTAAAATTCTGTGACTACCTCTAACTCCTCACTCTGTTTCTGCAATCATCACCCTAACCTTTGAGGCCCTAGCTTCCCATCCTGAATCATGTTTCTAATGTTCTTTATCTTGAAAGCTAAAAATATGCATTCTTGATTTGGAGGAATTTGATACACACACACACATATACACACATGCATATGTATGTGTGTGTGTGTGTGTGTGTGTATGTATATACACACAACTGCTTTAATTATAGCCATTTCTACTTGATTTTAATTATTTCCCAGTCACTTTATAAAGCTCAGAAGGATTCAGAAGTCTTCAATGGCTGGACTTTTATCAAATTTTCTTTAAGTTGCACCAAGTTTGTTCTTTAGAATTTCAATATTATGCTATAGTACATATCTATCCATGTACATGTAAAAGTTCTTGGTCAAAAATAATGAGTTTTGGTCTAAAATAATGAGTTTTGTTCTAATTTGGGGGCTTTAATCTGGATGTTTTCAACTTCATTTCAATTTTATCTGCTTTTAAGTGGTATATTTTCAATTGATTCTATAATTTAGTTCATCAAATTTTCATAAAAACTAGTGTTTTAATCTACCAATTCTCTCTCCCTCTTTTTACTTCTTTTTATTTTCCCTTGAAATTAAGTAGTGGAAGAACCAAGGCCGCTTTTGCAGACTTCTTAGTCCAGGTTGTACATAGTGTGTCTCTGGGCAGTTCTTTTCTCTGTACACGTCCTGTTCACTGGCGTTTTAGTTCTGCATGCTGGATGGAGTCCAATCTAGTATGTGCTTGGATTTCTACCAATGTGCTTTTGTGCAGTCACATGAAGTTCTCTGAGAAGGTGCATTGTGTGCTGTTGTCCTTTCAAGTAATATTTGGGCTTTGGTCATCATTGTCCAGTTTCTTTGTTCATTGTGGAGGCAAATGTTGCTATTTGAACATATTCTAGGATACATTTTGCTTTTTCGTCTACGGTTTTCATATATTAGTTGGACCAGCTTTTCTGATCTTAAAAGTACATGTTTAATGCAAAATCAGCAAAGACTCACGGAGCTGGGACTCATTGTTTCTTTAGATGGAAAACACTCACATATGGAATGTACTTCATTCCCCATTTGCATAGGCGGAAATGTCACTTCTTTGTCCATTTGTGGTGTGGAAAGACAGAAAATATTTTTTGAGAAAAATGATGTTTTTAGGGCCACTACAAAGTGGTTCTGAGCAGGATTTAATATTAACCAATTGGTTTTCCATGTTTACTTGTCAGTTGTCTGAAGCTTAGGCACCTTGTCTGACAAAATAAGGCGGCAGCTGAGGTTGTCTGGCTCCAACCCCAATTAACTACAAGGAGGCTGAAACAGCAGGCCCCACAGTCCTACAATAAACACCAACCTAAGATAAGGTAGTTCTCCTGATTGACATCATTTACTACTTGGGAAAATTCTCCCAATGTCCTGCGAGACTCCCGCGTTTTCTTGAGTGTCCTCCTCCTTTGTTTGAAAACCAAATAAATACGGGCTTCCCAGAGCAGTCGTTGGCTAACTCAGAGAATACTGAAGCTGTAAGAGAGTTGGTCCCTCCTGGAGCCCTGAAATCATTTCCATTGTCTCATTATTTAAGCCTTCGCCGTCCACTTGCTTGGGAGATTGCGGACCTGGTCAGGCTGCAATAACAGGGTTATTTAACCCGGTGTTTGATAATGATGTATTTACTCTTGAAAGCTTTTGGAGAATTTACTTTGAAAAGCAGCATGTTGAGCTGGGGTTGTAGCTGAGCTGTGCTGTGTCTGCCCAGCCGGGCTCCAGCCCTGGGTTCCATTTCTATTACTAAAACAAGAAAACAGTGCGATTATCTCACCTAATACGCTTTCTTTTGTTTTTTAAATAGTGGCTCCTCTTTACCCACGGTTTCATTTTCCATGATTTCGTTTCCTGTGGTCAATATATTCCAGAAACGTTACAAAAACCTAGGAATAAATAAACTGTATGCCATTCTGGGCACCATGGTGAAGTCGCACATTGTCCTGCGCTGTCTCCCGGATGTGAATCATCCCTTTCCGGAGCGTGCACACAGTGCATGCCGCTGCCTTCTGGCCACGTAGGAGCCGTCTCAGATACCAGATCACCTGTACCTGCACTGGGCGCACACTCAAGTGACCTTATGCTAATCATTCATGGTGCCAAACCACACGAGCAAAACAGCGGTGATGCCGGTGTTTCAGTTATGCCAAATAGGAACCAAGAAGTCCTTTCTTTGAGCAAAGTCTATGCATAGAGCAAGATGTTTTGAGGCAAAGAGGCAGACAGAAAATATTCGTGTAACATTTATAACAGTACATTGTTGTAACTGTTCCATTTTATCTTTTATCGTTCTTAATCTCCTATGGGTCTAATTTATAAATTAAAGTTTATTGATTCAACAGCGAGCAGAAACACTGAAAGGACACCTAGGCTTTGGAGGCAGATTTATTTACTTCAATGGGCAGTGATCAGGATCATTTCTAGAATATCAGGTCCTGATCTCTGGTGGCCTAGGGCTTATATCAGATAAGCAAGCAGGACGTACAGAGGCAGAATGGCTTGTGAATTGGGGATTGGTTAATACAATGTGCATCATAGTGACCAGCCATGCATCACAACTGCCAGCTGTTTGTAAGAAACAGGAGCAGCCAGAACTGGAACAGGAAATGCTACTTGGGCAACTAAGAAACTGAAGTATCCTGGCTTGGCAGGGGTGGCATTTCTGTCACATCATAGTGTATATACATGTAAAAACAAGAGCATATACAGGATTTGCTACTATGCGTGGTTTCAGGCATTTACTGGTGGTCTTGAAAAATATCTTCCACAAATAACAAGAAATTACTGAGAGTATTTCCTTTGATCATATATAATTTAATAGTGGGCCTTTACAAATAATACTCCATGAGCTACCTTTGGTATAAATAAGCCTACTACTAGTAATAGCACCATAGACCGTAGAATCTATGGTTGCAAACTGAAGGAACAACTGTGAAAACAAATGACAGAAAGTTCAGTAGTGTTCAAACCAAATTGCCATCCAATTCAAAAAGATGGGAAGTCTGTAAACAGCTGAAAATTCTCCTACTTATGACCAACCTGCAGTTGGCATGGAAAAAGCTGGAGAATAAGCTGTGAAGCGATTGGTGGATGAGATAGATTTCTAAAAACTTGACCACTAAAACTGTATCTTTCCTAAAATAGGCAGATAGTTGCTTCATGATATTTAATTACGGGGAAATTCCACTGAATCTTTACTGAACTGAAAAAAACAATGTATATGAGTTAGAAATAAATACTGAAATCCTCTGTGAAAAGTTCTATGATCCCTCTGAAAGGGGAGGTAGAAGAAGAACATCTTTTGCCAGTGAGAAGATTTTAATTCTATTATTGGTTTGGAGATTGAAAAGAGGATATGTTTATGTGTAATGAAGTAGTGTACAACTATATGATGAATATATTGTAAGCCTGAAAATATGCAGAAATTTCTTGTTGGGTCAGCTGTGTGGTCACTTCTGACATTGCTTCAGATAAAGTGTCCAACATGAAGTTTAGAATCTTATAATATTAACTCTAATTATAATCATTGAGCTTCATCAGTCTTTAAACATCCGGAATTGTACTTTAGAACATTGTTATACCTAAGTATGTCATACTTATATTTAACTAAAGCCCATTTTTTTTTCTCAGACTATTTATGCACAATCATCCCTCTCTATCCATGGGGGATTTATAAGTTTCAGGATTCGTTCTTCCCCATAAATATCCACTAAATGCTCAAATAGCTCATATAAACTGGTGTAGTTTTTGCATATAACCCATGTACATTCTACTGTATACTTTAAATCACCTCCTGGTTTCTTATAATACTTAATACAGTGCAAATACACTGCAAATAATTATAACAGTATTTAAGAAATAATGACCAAAACCATCTGCACATATTCAATACACTTACTAATTTTTAAAAATATTTTGATTTACAGTTGTTTGAATCCATGGCACCAGAACATATGGACCCAGTAGGCAGACTCTATTCTTGAGTTTCAAAGGATTCTTCTTTTGCAACTTATGCTGAAATCATTTTAAGGTACTGTTTTATCCTAAGATGTAACTTATCCTGCTGAAAAGTTACTCCTGTAGAGAATTTGATTAACCCATATTATTTTGTGTGTTCCTGTGTTTTATCAGTGCCAAGTAAAGGAGATGTCAAAAATTCTTGTAAACTTTTTATAGATCTGTTATTGCTCAATAAGTTTTCCACTTGAAGGATAAAAAAATGCAACACCTTTTCCTTATTTTTATTTTTATCCCATTCTTACTCTAGAACCAATTGATATGCTCACATTTTCCTTTATTAATAAAATTGAATTATGTACTCAGAAAAATTTGATGTAGAACAGGCATTAACGATTTTATTTCTAAACACATCACCTTAGATTGGGAAACTAAGACCCCAAAAGGTAGACTTGCCAAATTAACTGTTAAGAGTAAATAAAATTAGATAATTAGCTTGCGAGTAGAAAGTAATTTACAAAACAGAGTGGGTCTAATGTGTCCCTGTTTTAATTGAATTCCTAGGAAGGGAATTTTTATTGCTCTGTTAATATTCCAAGGATACCTAAGGAGAAGGGAGACACCTGCCCAGGATCACAGCTATTAATAACAGCCCAAATCCTCCTGATTGCTTTTCATTCTTTCTATTTGGGTAAACAGCCACAAACAAATTAAAGCAGCTATCAAACATATTTTCAGACAAAATTGAAGTTCTCTTGCCTCCCTTCACAATATTTATACTTCTAAGAATACTTGTTGGAAGAACACACCTTTTAACAGCATCCTTGCTGAAAGTTGCACCACAAGTAGGCAGGAGTATTTCAATATACCACTATTCCAGGAGAGGAAAACTCACCAATATCCTAAAAGCAAAGAGTGTTACTTTGATAATTAATTTATCTCAGTATTTCATACTAATGAAATACAACTCTGGTTTCTCTTCAGATGGAATAATTCTTTTGCATATTGCTAATGAAATACAATAATCTCATGTAGGCTTTGTATAGTATGAACTACAAGTCATGTGCAGAATGAGTGTATGCATGTGTAGCCAGCCTTCTGTGTGTGCCTGTGTGTATGAACTTGCCTGAGATCTTTTGCACTGTTTAATAATGTATAGAGTCCAGAAACAATCGCTTTTTATTTTTGTAAATTTCCACCACAAAAGCTACATTCCCTGTGGTAACCAGCGTGATCTTTAAATAGAATTGCAAACAGGTGAATAATTAGTACGTGAAGGTTGGATACCATGTGGGAAGAGGGAAGATGAGGCACTTATTTTTCAACCACAAATCCCATGCTTCTAGTATTTGGTATTTTAAATGGTCTCAAAAGAAACCTATGGTGCTTCAGAAGTCCTAATTGAGAGCAGGTACCGGGCTTCCAGGTGAGGAAGACTCAGGAGCCCTCAGCAAGGAGTATGCTCATCCAGGAAGGGCAAACCATTCACTGGATGTTCACCAAAGCAGGGCTCTGCATTTCAGAAAGCTGGGTCTTATAGGCATCTGAAAGTTGAGCCTGCTCTCTCTGCATTCCTGCTGAGGTAATATTCAGCTGCCCTTTATTAGTCATTACTAAAGAGAGCCTTGACTTTCACCCCTCAAAGGTTTAAAAGTTACAGACAATTCTTTGTGTCTGGAGCAAACAGTCACCGATATATATTTTTCTAAAAATTGCTATTGATTCTCTCCAAAATAAACAGTGACCAAGATACTTTAAATTAAATTCCATCAAAACTATTTGCAGTACCATCACATGCTGCTTGGAATATGAAATAGAATATTAGCAACAATTTTTCCATTTTGTTTTTACATAAAGTTTTAGGCTATTTATTTATCATTTGAGAGTGCATATTCTCTATGTTGTATCAGTACCTAATCCAGCCTGTAGCAGTTTAAAATTAGAATAGGGGTCATATGTGTTGTTTTACTTTGCCTTGGTGTTATGAGTGAGATGTAGAATCACCCCCAAAAGGCTCATATGTTTAGAGATGAGGCATTGGAAGGTGATGGGCTCCTGGAGGTGCTCTAGCCATTGGCAGATTAATCCACTGAGGAGTTCAGAGCTGGATACGCTGTTAGCAGGTGAGATCCATTTGAAAAACACAGGGCACTGGGGGCAGGACTTGGAAGGCTGTGTGCTTGTCCCATTTTCCTTCCCTCTCTGTCTCTGTCTCTGTCTCTGTCTCTGTCTCTCTCTGTCTCTCTCTCTGTCGTATCTCTGTTTCTGTCTCTCTCTCTCTCTCTCTCTCTCTCTCTCTCTCTCTCTCTCTCTCTCTGTTTCTTGGCTGTCATGAGAAGAAAAAGGGTCTTCTACTCTGGTCTTTCTACCATGTCATTTCTGCCTTTGAGTCAGCTGAGTATGGACTGAAATATCTAAAACTGTGAACCAAAACAAACTGCTCCTCCCTTAAATCGAAGCTATTGGGTATTTGTCTCAGCAATGGGAAAGAGGCTAAGAAACATTCTGGTACCAGCGATGTGGAGTTGTTGCTATGACTGTATTTGACCATATGATTTAGAAGCTTTTGGAGCTTAACTGCACAGTTTTTTAAAAGTTTGGTTAAACAGAATGGAGAAATCTTAGCAGTGGACAAACCTTAGCAAAACAGAATAGAGCAATGCTTCTATTGCAATGGTCAGAACTCAGAAGACCAGAATATTCATAAGAATGTGGAAAGCAAATTCCAGGCTCAGGAGGTTTCAACTGAGAACAAGAGCTCCATTAGCAATTAGACTAAAAAACCATTTGTGTTACACTTAAGTAGAAAATCCGTCTATGTTTTGCTCATTGCCTGAGATTTTGTGGGTAACTAAGTTTAAGGGTGATGAACTAACTGATATAGTGGAGGAAATTTCAAGGCATCATATGTTCAGGTTGTGTTGGCTGATTTTAGCCAGATCTACAATGAGAATCAACACTAAACAGCAGAGTAAAGATATATAAAACATTTCCAGTTATGCTAGAAAGATAGCTCCTGTAATATTAGAGCAAAGTGGAGAATCCTTACCAAAAAATTAGCATTTGCATATTCCTGCTAATAGAGATATCCTATGCCACCGAATGGGATGGTCATGCATATACTATGGGAGGCTCAGAGCTGTCCAAAACCAAAACGTAGGAAACATGGCCTTGTCTTGAACATGTTAAAATGAAGTCAAGTATTTTCCATCAGGACAAGAGGAAAGATAACTTGAAGGCATCTCAGAAATCAGCAAGATATACCCTTTGCAGGCTCAAGTATACCAAACTGTAAAGTTGACATCTGATAAGACAGCCCCAGGACACCTTGCTTATTTTGGACTACAAAAAGAAATTTCCTCTCAGTTGAGTCATCTGAGCACTCAAAGCCCTTTGAAGCCATGACTTAAGGGGGCCTGATTTTTGCTCAATCAGGAAGCAGACCTTGGTGCTATCCACTGATGATGGTTTTAAAGGGATATATAATATAAGAGTGACAGACCCATGGAAGCCTCTGTCCCAATTTCATAAGAAGTGTATCCTTGAGGGAGCAGCATGTAAAACCTGAAAGAATGCAGGCGAAAGTGCACGGGAGAACCCACGAAATTGGAGATGCCAGGGATGTTGAACTTGTCCTGCTGGAAGCTGCAGGCAGTGAGCAGAACCGACCTAAGAGAGAAGCCATGAAAACCGCAATGAAGGTTGCTATAGGGAAAGGTCTCTTCGAAATCTTTGGAGTTTATGTCTCAGCACGAATTGCCACAAATTGGTTCTGGACATGGGATACGGGATGTAATATTTGATCTGCTGTGTTTCAATCTTGCTTTGGTCCATTCTTTTTTATCCTTCTGTTCCTGCATCCCAGATTGGAAATATTTGTCCAATGCCACTGTAACTTTCTTTTGGGTTTTTACTGGAGCTCACGCCTCAGAGTTTGGATTGAGTCCCAGAAGAGACTTGGTCAGCACTGCAGGAGCTGTTAAAACTCTGGTTACTTCCAGAGATTGCTTAAATGAACTTGGAATGAAGACATAAGTCTTTGGGGTCCAGGAGAGAATGGTTTAGGTCTAAAATGTCCCCACAAAGGCTCATATGTCTAGAAACAGAAGTTTTGGAAAGTGATGGGATCATGAGGTTGCTGTACTCATCCTGAATTCAGAACTGAATGAGATGTAGGTGATGAGGTCTGGCCAGAAGAGGCGAGTCACACTGATGTGACTTGGACATGTGTGTTTTTGTTCCTAGCTCCTCCTCCTCTCTGCTTCCTGACTGCCATGATGGGAGAATCTTTCCAGTGCTGAGCCCTTTCCTCCCGCCATTCCTCCTCCTAGGATCCAGGACAGGGGGCTGAAGCACGACCCCACATAAACCTTCTGTCTTTTAAATTGCACACTTCAGGAGAAGACACTAAGACAGCTGGTAACAACTTGCAGCCAGAGAGTTGACATTACCACCTCATCTGGTGAAATGGTTTTCTATTGATTTGTGCTTACCACAAATTTAGTGGCTTAAAAGAGCCTGTGTTATTATCTCATAAATCCAGAGTCCTGGAATGGCTTAATTGGTCCACAGCTCAGTGTATCTCAAAGCTGCAATGAAACTTTCTTTGAAGCTCATGTGGAGTTGGGAAAATTCCATTTTTCTTTTTTTTCAGTTTTAAAACCAAAGTCCCATTTTCTTGCCAATAAGAGTTATTAATAAAAGTGAAGTTGTTTATAACTGGAGCATAACTTTGAAGGAAGCACTTCCTACAGGTAAAGAACATAGGACATGTACTTAGATATGAGAATTAAGTGTCTTTAAAATATCCTGACAATGTTAAGAAGCATATGTTATTTCAGAAAAGGACATTTGGGGTCTGAAGATTTTGGGAAAAAGCTTAAGTGCAAGTCCACTTACTTCCAGCTGCTACCTTATTTTCATGCAATCATGCTCCCTCACAGGGAATCTTAGCTCAAAGATTTCATTTAACAAATGAAGAAGCTGAGACAATTTTAGGCCAAGCAGCTATGAAGTAAAACATTTGGGACTTGAAGCACTGATCACTTCTCACAGTCATTTATTGATTTTATT